AACTCTATTCTCTCCCCAAGCTCTCTTTTCTCTCTCACCCCTTGCTCTACACTTTGATACACTAGAGAACTCTTAAGCCATGATTTTATTCTTACATGCTAAACCCCTTTATATAGCCAAATATGCAAGAGTGTGAATGCAACCTCACACTATTCAAATGTTGGCTACCAAACTTAACCATGGATGGCTACCAAACATTCCACCATTTTGTGCCACCAAACAAGTCACCTATTTTTGACAAAGATGGCAAGCCAATATTTACTCACATGGGCAACTCCAAAATTCTTCTAGAAATGAGTCAACCATGTTATGGAATTTAGGTAGAAATCCATAGCACACAAAAGAGGACTTTGTATCCTTAGGTGAGCCAAATTTCCAACAAGTGTTTCATAAAAAAGAATAGCCAAAAAAGGGCCCCCACATATGAGTTGTTTGGCGTAAAAGTGTTTAAAATTTGGGGGTGAACATTACCCCACACTGATTGCCGTGAGATGAGTGTGATTTAATATAGGCTAAGCTAATCAAATCCGAATCTGATGAGCTGTAAATTTAGTGCTTAACATAGTTGAAACATATTTTGAAGCTAACACAATGCCAGAGGCGCAAGAAGTTGGCCATACTGATAATAAGCCCACCCTTTTGAAGCCCCCTTCTGACCCCCGTCGGGGTCAACACTTCACTAAAGTTGAGATCACGAATATCACCAGAGCCGGTCCATTGATTTTGGAGGCCCTGTGCAAATATGGATGTTGAGGCCCTACATATACAAGTAGGAAAAAAAAATCCATATAGAAACAAAAATTTTTGACACGGGAGGAACACCTTCGGAAAGAGCTTCCCAGAAAAATTTCTTTAGTCACTCTTCCAAATCACAGAGCTGATAAATTGATTTTCCAATTTCAATGCTCGGTGAATTCTCATGTGAATGAGGGAGGGAGAAAAGAACTGTGATTTTGGGGAAAGGGCTAAAGCTTGGGTTTTTACAATCCAAAATTTGATGGAAGAGGGTGGTACACTGGTACTGAAGAGAAATGGATTTATTTTGATGGAGGAGAGTGAGAGAGACTCACTGAAAGAGAAAAGAATATTATAATGGTTTTGCAGCGCGAGAGTTGGGAAGAAGAAAACACAGGTTTCAAACCATAATAAATAAATAAAAAGAAGAGTTGCAGCGTGAGAGAGAGACTCTCTAAGTCGTGGAAGTTGTTGATAATTAATATTCAATTCAATTTTGGTTTTGGTTTTGGGGCCTTGCATGTGGCGTTGTGGGGTGATATTTAATATTTCATTTTTATTTTCATGTTTTAATTAATTGAATGCGTTGACTCGGAAAAATTTGGGGCCCTTAAATTTTGGGGGCCCTGTGCGGTCGCACAGCTCGCACACCCCATGGGCCGCCTCTGAATATCACCAGTAATTATACATCACTGCTTGGAGAAGGTGCATTCGGAAAAGTCTACCGTGGCACGCTGGAAAATAAGGTTGAAGTTGCTGTCAAAGTACTCTCGCCTAGATCAAGTCAAGGCTTAGAAGAATTTAATAACGAGGTATAGATAATCCAACTATATATATTTCTTTCTTGTCTGGATTCTTTGTTGAAGATTCACAAAGACGAAACATGCATATCGAATTGCAGGTTGCGCTTTTGATGAGTGTTGCTGATCATAAAAACGTGGTTTCCCTGATTGGGTACTGTGATGACGTTGACTGTATGGCACTTGTTTATGCGTTCGTGGCCAATGGAAATTTGAAACAGCATTTATCAGCTGGTAATGATCGTATATTCATATGTATAAGTAAAATATAACACCATATATAACTCGTTCAGCTTTTCTCATCGTCATTACACGAATATGGACTTTTGCAAGTGAACCTGCTGCTATTGGATTGCATTTCATCATATACTGGGGAAAAAAAAAAATTAAACCTAGCTAATTATTAACTTCAATTTCCGAATCTTTTCTATTCTTCATCCTAAACCACTGTTGACCCCAAGTACAGTACCTTCACCTTCACCACCTGCATCAAGCCCGCAGTCACCGGACCACCGCCACATGTCATCAGCTCCATGTTGAGAATTAATGACTAACTCACTGCCCTTTTAAGATCTTGTTGTTGATGGACTTTGGACAAAGAACTCAATGATGGATGAGTCTTACACACACACACAGAAATTAACCAAGCACAAATGACACAAGTGTTTATAGAGGTTCAGCAAATTGCCTACATCCTCTTTGGTGATCACCTTGAGAAATTTCACTAATGAAGATAGGTTACAACTTTGGTTTACAAAGGAAACCCCCTTAGAACACTACCCTCACAATCTGTTTCTCTCACACCCTTGCTCAACACCTTGATACACTTAGAGAACTCTCTTGCTCTCCCCTT